AGATAGGTGATGGAGCTGAAAATACGCCAGCTGCAGTGCAAGTCCGCTATCACTGCCCTGCGCCAATCACGTTCTGGGTTACACAGTTAACATTGAGGGTTGAACGGTTAGCTGTGATTAGTTATGCCAACCTTAGTGCTAGCAAGTATATGGATTCCTGAGCGAAATTTTAAAGCAAAAAAGGTGATAACATTTCATCTTGCTATCAGGGAAAAGTATTCCCACGAGACCAGCTTTCACATGACACTTTAAACTTTCTTCTCTTCTCTTGTAATAAACGCCCATTTCAGAGTCAACCACAAATAGCACTTTCCCTGAAACCAAGCGAATTGCCTACCTTTTATTATTTCAGCATTGGAGATAGATCAATATTTCCTTAAAATCTATATGAAATCTCACAGAAAAGAACCCAAAGGCCATCTCCTTGGGTACGTTATCTGCTCAGAATGGTTAGTACGAACAACCCGAATCCACTTCATCACATGATTAACCTCAGATTTCATACTTAAGGGCTCAAGAGATATTCTTCAGGCTCAGCTTTTCTCCAGGCTTCTCAAATAAACATTTGTGTGCACTTTACTGACTTAACCATCCACCACAGTTTTCCTCTGAGATGGAGTAATGCAAAAAATTAAGAAAGTTTACAATAACACAGTTAGCGACACTTTACTGCTGTTTTAACTAATTTGCAGAATTCTAAGTTTTCTCTTCTGCTTTATTATCCACGTTTCAGTTAAATTAACTTATTTAGGCAATAAATTGTGCAGTGCGAATGAACTTTAAAGTCGCTCCGTGCATATATAATAGAAGTGATGATTATACAGAAGAACACAACCTCAATTCCTGACTAAAATCGCAGGTCCCTATATGTTGAGTTTGGGAATCAACAGCAAAATCAGTGGTCCCGGAAGCATACCCTGATACAAAATTTGTTCTTTCTATTCTAACTTCCCAGTACACCTATTAGGCCAAAACTGTTGTCGAATTGGTACACAAAGACCCCTTCGGGGCCTCATCAATTAACTGGATTACGAATTTAATTAAGACGAAGCTTTTTTGTCAGGGAAATAGCCAGCAACACCCAAACCTGAATCAAAATTGCATTCCCTTTGGATGATTTAACCGATTCATTAGGTTCTATTACGTACTGCGAAATGGACGCTGAACTTCGCACTGGCCTACTCTGCAGCTACTCTTCGCTAGAACCGGCTCATCTTTCATCCGTATGCTTATCCGTTTGGAGCTCTGGGTGCATTAGAAATTATTCATCCCGGAGCGGCTAAAACTCATTCAGGCGGTAGCGCGCACCGCTAGAGCTGACAGTACGTAAATGCAAAACGAGACAGATGGAGCGAATGACCAAAAGCGTTTGGCAACGCAGTAAATGCTCAAGTAGGGGGCGGGGGGAGGAGGAGGGACTGTAATTTCCACGTGCTCGTAATGGAGGTGTTCAACATGAAAAATTTACCCGAGCTTTTGTCCGAGAGAGCGCGTACTAAGCAGGACAGCAACAAAAAAACGCGGAAATTAATTTGTTTCGTGCGCAAAGGTAACTTTATTTGAAAGTTGGCGGGCAGACAAGCAGGCCAGCAGACGGAAGAAGCAGACTTTGAAACTGGCGGGGGGTTTTAAATGTATTTAAACATGGTTAAATCGCGGGAAATGCATTGGAGCGACATGCCACAGAGAGACAGAGACGAAAACAGGTTTTTGCGTACAGACATCAAACTCTGCACCTGACGGCGATGCATGCTGAACGGGGGGTTAGTCGGTTGTTCCCTCGTGCAGGAATCCGCTGCTGGCGATACGATTGAAGAGGAAGTATAATTCCGCCCAGGCGCCCAGAGGCATGCCCAACATCAGGAGTTGCATCTGTTTGCCCTCGGCAACGCCAGACATGAGCTGATATAGGCGTGCAGATTGCTCCTTGTCGAGGTTGGCCATTGTGAAGTAGTCCTCGATTGTTGGGCTTTCTGCAACGTAAAACACTGCACAGATGAGCACTGTCCCGGACAGAGTTTTGGCTTCCGGCTTACAAAAGTAACGAAGTACAGCGGAGGCTTACAGCCCAGTTTCGTTAAAGTGACCATAAAACCAGATGCGCCACAAAATGGTCTTGCAGTGTCCTAGATATCCACGGATAAGTTCATGGTAGAGTGCGTTTCCTTCGATTCGACGAACAAATCCACATTAGCGTGTGGATTTGAACAAACGGCGAAATTGCCTTGTAGGGCCGCCCAAATATCTATTTCCCCGCCCAACTGTCTTATGGAACTGGTGATTAAAAGTTTAATTCTTGGTCAACGAGTGTAAATGAATAGTTACTCGTGTTGAAAATGATCAATGAATACTAAATTAAGGCCACTTATAATTTTTTAATGAGCTAAATATAATCAACTCCATCAACATAAACTTCTGTTACTCAGGCAACTGATGTCTATTGATAAAAATTTGACCTTATGTTGACGGAATTTAACGAAAGAGGAGAAGATTGGGCTATTGAAGATGAAAAAGTCATTTATTATCTTAAGTCAAAGGCAAATAGGAACTCTAAGGACAGCCTTACGGAACAATCAATACCAAGTCTGACCGGAAAACACAAGAAGTTTAGAATAAACACTTTAGATATAATTGTCATTGTAAGGTTGCTGAAAATAAGGTGTATACCAAGGTAGACCGGGTGGGCTCGCAAACCGATCACTTGGCGTCCAGCCGAAATCTAACTTATCTGCAGACTGAGGTCGAAGCTGGTAACTTGGGTGGTAAAAATGGATGTAAGGTACTAACTGACAAAGCACACATGGTTGATGTGCGGATAAACGAAAAACAGAAGTGGATAGATTATCAACAGAATGAAGTCCTAGGTCAGCTAATACTATGGGCTACTATCACCTTAGTCATTAATCTGGAAGTGGTCCTTACTTGAATGTCACTAAAACAAGAGAAGTCTATACAGAGAGCCATAGTACATCGTGCTAACTCAAAAAAAAAAAACAATTTCTTCACTCTGAGAAAATATGTTAAAATTTAAAAAAAGCTTTAGAGCTCAGTTTTATTCATTTTTAGTTTTAATGACCTTATTGCAGGGTGATTCCAGAATTGCTCAATAAACCCCAAAGCCTAAATAACAGGGAGATTTCTTACCGTAAAAATAGCAAAATTTTCATTCGAACGTCTCCAAGGGACGGCAGAGGGAGTTTAATTCTAGCCTTAACTGGCCTCTACTATATCCCAAATTTAATTGTGAGTTCAGTTATAAATATCGAACAAAAGAAGAAGGACCGAAATACGTATTTTCGACTCATTTACCGCCTTTGGCCATACATAACGCAGAGCTGTACATTGTTTTTTCTATATTGTGTGTTCCATTGCTTGAGACAGGAGACTGTATACTGTCAGTTTTTTTTACCTGTATTATTCAATGTCCAAGGGAAATTACTTCTACGGAGGAAAATAAATTTGCCTCTTTCATATTTCTTACACTGAAAGTCTCATCTATTAGACTCGAATGACAATCACCAGCGTGGGGCAAGCAAGAACCTGCAGGAAGGTTTCAAAAAATAAGGAAATGTTACTTGCGAAACAAACTTGAAAAGATCGTTTGAAAAGTACTTTGACAGCGCCCATAACACACCTGCTATATACAATGATTACGCTAGTAAAGTCGTATGAAAGACACCCTCAAAAAGGGCGGGGTTCATTAGTGACTGAAACTCTTAGAATTTTAAAAGCATTTAAAATAAATGCCTGCTACCTTAAACTGGATTAGTCATGCTGCTTTTGCAACAGACGAGCCGAACAGAGTCAACATTTAGTTGTGATTATTTTCTAATAATCTTTGTTTTAATTATGTTCTTTTTACTATAGTTGTATAGCAAATCCTTAGGTGAATTTCTGTTAGAGAATGGAATTAATTTCTTCACCTTCTACAACACAACGTAAAAAAGAGGTCATATTTACTTCACAAAAACATGACAATTTCCAAAATGACTATGAAAGAAGTGATTGAGTACCAAAGTTAGCGTTCACTGAGAAATTGCGCAAGCCACAGTTAGGAAAAACTGACACAACTTGTGCCCAAATAGGAGATGTTTAGGAGTTATCTATAATCTGCATTATGACTAAGTAGGAAGACCAACAACGATGTAATTGAAAGTGAGTAAAGTTACTTTCAAAGCACAGTAACAACAGCGTAACAGAGCATTCGATCGAAATTTTGGCCGGCGATGCAGGCACGCACATTAGTACCTATCATTAGGAAGAAATTTCGGTCATCGTCTGTTGCACAACTTTTCAAGGAAATATCTGAAAGGGCTTGGCAGGCATCATTCAACACTTAGCCAAACGTCATCTCAATAGAAGACGCAACATTTCCAGGTAGGAACATAAAAGGCAAACAAATGGTTGAATGAATCAAATCTGACATCTCACTGTCAAGAGGTAAACATGTGATAGATTGGAGTTGTTTCTGTTCCTCCCAGACAGGACAGGGAAAAGAAACGTCCCGTAATGCGGACTGTTCACGAGTAATTAGGGTTGCAGGTGTGGTAGGTAATTTTGTTAAGTTTAGATTTAGAGTTAAGTTGAGGCTAGGGATAACTGCAATCCTAAGATGGGCTGCGTAAAGGCCTTATCTGTTGTGCGGGTTCGACTTCCGCCGAAGCCGCGAATTTTTTCACAATTGGGTCAACTAAATTAAGCAAATCTGCCAAAACACCCTAACAATTAAGTCAGCCTGGTAGTCATTCTGGTGGATTCTAAATGATTGTCTAGGAAATCCTGCTTGGGCAGTCAGCTTGCTGTTCCATAAGGGTGGATTCCATATGAGCGGTAAGTTGGGCGGGTAAAATCGATCCAAGTGTGATTAAATTCATGGCACACGGCGTGGTGTCGTAGCTCAAATCGGTGGAGCATTGGCTGCCTAGACTGCTGAAGTAGTTTTGAAGCGTGTAAATGTCTTTTGGCTTTGTGAACACGAAATTTGGTTTTTTTTTTATCTAGGAGACATCTGCGTAGCTAAAAACGAAATCGAAGGCTCGAAACATACTTTCCCTTATGCAAATTTAAAACAGGCAAGTAATGCAGAATGTATTGGCACCATAATATTCCGTGAGTGCTCGTCAGCCGCTATGTCTCTCGCTATACGAATTCACACGTTTCTCTCGGCGTGAAGCAAGAAGCAGTAGCTGACATGAAATATCTTGGCACCAATAAATTCTGCAAGACACCGAAAGCCTCGGAAGGATGCTGTTTGTAAACGTAGGCACTTGAAGAAGGAATCCTACCAGTCTCGTCATGAATGTTTGCGTAAAAGATATCAGGGCAAAAGGAGCTTATGTAGTCCCACTCATATGCCCCTAGTCCCGGCATTTTATCATACGAAACCGTGTTTATAGGGTTTTGTCGTGGGGAATTAGGATACACAGTGCAATATACTTTGGTAACTGTTATATGCATTTTTATTTTATTGCATTTAGAAATTTTGTTCCTTTAAATCTGTAGATTTCCCTAATTTGTATTATCGTTTAACGTATTGCGGAAAGGCCCGATTATCAAATTGCAGGTTTCCTGAAAGGGTAGAAATGACGGTTAATAGGTCGTCTACCTCAACTTACCTGAGGTCCAACTTACTGTTCTGGAATTAGATTAGTATAGCTCGCGGCGGGAAGCGCCTCGCACATTTCAGTTTACATGCGGAACACCTTACTCCCAGCGGCCTCGGGAAACAAATTCAAAAACATTTTTTTTCACTTTACACTTACTTCTAAAAATTTCCTTCACTGCCTATCCTATTTCTCCACTCCCCGAAACCCCATAACCACAGTTTTTGTAGGACAAATGCGGGGGCTAGGGGTATATGGGTGGGACTACATAGGCTATTTCTGCCGAAATCAGTGCTCCACTTGTCCTCAAGTGGAGAAGCCACGTTTCTGTCCCCCACAGAGGATGTGCGCCGGCTGTTGCAGTAAATCCAAGGTTAGTAAAAATGCTTCAGATATTAAGATCCGGAATCATCGATCAGCAGGAAGGACACAGACGTCACTAAGAAAACGTTCTCTCTATCGTACGCAAAATTCCCCTTCGTAGCCATCCCACTGTAGCTGCAGATTGTTAACGTTTACGTAACGTCTAGGGCTGTCACAAGACCAACAGCGTAGCGCCCTATACCATAGCTCATGAACTGGTTGTTCCTACTTATGTCGGCTATTGTCGGTTTTGCGGATTCACTCATCGCATATAAACCGGTTGGCCAGGAATATGACAACCTCTTCGTCGCTCCTAGTACTCACTCGAGGGCGTCTACCGTTCCTAACGGAAGTCCACCAAAGCCTCGGTCTAGGACACAGCAACCAATCGCAAGAAGGTATCGATGCATTGCATCTTACTGCCAATACTATTAATTGTCCGTCGAATTGGACACAATAAACACATATCCCTATGGCGAGCTAATTCATCACGCTTGCCTCTACAGCGCTACGAAAACAAAACCCCATCCGTGGATCCGCTGAGGTTATTTGTAATTCCTGCACTAGAAAACGTAGATTGTAGTTCTATTTTCTCTCTAATTCTCAGCTTGGCAACGTCGTTTATAGCCTCTCTGACTTCGTTGTGTCTTTGCCATTCAAACGGTTATAAGGTTGCGCTGGAAGCATGTTAACTTAACCGGTAGAAATTAAGTAGGTCGTCCACCTTAGATACCCCTAACACCTAGTCATGTGGTAACTGTTAATTTTATTAGTTAAGGGTTACTTTAGTTTTATTTTATTATTTAATTTATTAGCTTGATTTTAGTTAAGTTCAGTTTTATGTTTAATTCTAAACCGTCAATGTCAGATAAATATACTGAAGTAACTATAAACTAAACTGGGGTAAACTAAAGTAAACTAACTAAACTTAAAATAGACTAAACGAAAAGTAAAAGTAAATTAATAAACTAGAAACTAAACTGCACTGATAGCACCAAACTCGTAAGACAGAATTATTGGACTAGCGATATCTAAAGGGGGCTATTAACCAAGCTTTTACCATTTTAATCGCTTTCTGAAGTATATTTCAAAATTATTTCGTTATGAAACCAGATAATTATGGGTTTATGACAGGTTATTATAGTGCATGTGAACGTTCCTCATGCCAATCCACCTTAAGCATGGTTGCTGTAACTTCCTTGTAGTGAAAGTATTTTCTCAAACGGAATATAATTTATATGCAGTTTTTTGTGAAAAAAGTTGTGAATGTTGGGCAGCAATGAGTACTTTTCCATATTTAAGAATTTTCCCATGCTAATAACTGCCCTAGGCTACCTATGTTCATTAACGAGGACATTAAACTTAACGAGAAAGTTTTAGAAAAACAGTTAACCTCTATCGATATTATTTTTTAGCGGGCAACGCAAGTCAAAAAAGAAAGAGCACGATATTTCTCATAAGAGAAAAATCCTTTCCTCTTCAAACAATAAACATTTAAAAGTCCTATTTGCAGAGGCTGTTCTAACGCCAACGGGGAGAGTGGCATAAAAACAATCGTCTCTACTTAGAATATGTTAGTATTCCATTAGCAGACACGGAAGTGACTAAAAGAATCAATCAGTTTTAGTTTTAGATACGCAATGTGTTACTACTAGCAGGGTAGAGTTTCTGTTGCTATTTAGTTTAGACACGAAACGACCCAAAAATTAGCTATTTTTTTTTCGCACTTAAATAGTCGCTCTGGTGCACATTAAGAACCGAAGAGGAAAACCTAAAAGCGAGTAAAGATAATTGAATTGCCTCAATAAAGAGCAAAAAGGGACATTTTTTCAGATGCAGAGGAGAATGCTTCGGTGTCTGTCAGATTAGTGCATGGTCGAGTTAGTCGTTGCATTTCTTTCTTGACTTTACCGCCGAAAAGTATGAATGACGTGATATCTCAGTCGCAAAAATATTCCATAGAAGAAAACTTTTAAAAGATAACTGATTAGATGAGCTTGTGCATTTAATCGGGAAGATAGCGCGTACTAACATTCGCAGGGGACGTTAACTTTTACGGGTAACATTTATGTAAATATGACTCAAGTCTACGTCTGCATAAAGAGGAACGATCAAGAACCTATTGCCTCGTTGAGAGTTTTCAAGAGCCGTATTTTTTGAAGTTTTTGAAAAACAAAGCCAGAAGTTGAGTCTTTTCGAACGGCGGCTTAAGAACATTGAAAAGCAGAAAGCAAGCATGGGAAGTTCAAGGATATCATAAGACTCAACGAACTCCACTTCCGTCATTGATCGCACAGTCGTTTCTATTGAAAAAAGGGTTCCCTGATACCGAAAATATAATATGACCATCATTGTATCTGATTATTCTAGCTTAATTTATCATTCACTGACTGGCAATCCAATTTTTTGACTTTATGATAATTTTTCTTTCTGTGAGATTTCTAAACAGAAAATAAAGAAAATATTACTTTCTTTGGTCAACCTCAAAAGGGAAAGGGAAAAATGCATCATATTTTCAGAAACCATTGTAAAACAGTTGGACAAATGGTATAACAAATTGTAGACTAATTACTGGAAGTGTTTTTCAAATGGGTTATACTCATGATGTTTATGTTTATTTAGTTTCTTGCATGGAAGAACTTATGTATTCCTGCAGTTAGAACTCACGTATTTTACATGAATTTCTGTACTTATTGTTCTTTCGGTCTTTCTAAGAAACGCTATTTCTAGCAGATGGAGAAGAATATGAGATACCAACGTTCTTGCTGTTAACCTACAATATTTCTTTTGGTAGAAGTTGAGTTGGTCGCCCACCTAAGACACCCATAGCCCCTAGTCCTGCGGTTAAATTTAGTTTCATTAGTTTAAGATTAGTTTAGGCTTAAGTTTGTCATTTAACTTATTAGTTTAATTTTAGTTTCAGTTTAGTTCAGTTTTTAGTTTCTTTATAAACCGCGAACGTAAGAAAACTATACTTAAATAACCACTTTATACTAAGCTTAAGTAACTGAACTAAGCTAGACTAAGCAAAATTAACTAAATTAAAGCCTAACCTAAACTTCTACTAAAATTAAAAATAAACAAACAAAAACAACAACACTAGTTTAAGTAGTGCACCTCATATACCCCTAGTTCTAGAATTTTGTCCTATGGTAGCCGTGGTTATAGGGAGTTTTTGGGTTGTGAATTGGGATAGGCAGTGGAATATACTTTCATAACTGCTACATGCATCTTTATTTTATTGTATTTAGAAATTTTGTTCCCTTATATCTGTAGATTTCCCTAATCAGTATTCTCGTTAAACCTATTGCAGTAAAACCCGATAACCAAATTGCAGGTTTCTTGAAATTCCTTAAAGGGTAGAAATGGCGGTTGAGAGGTCGTATACTTCAACTTACCTGAGGTCCAAATTACTGTTCTGGAATTAGATTATTATAGCCCTGCGGAAAAAATTACTCCCAGTGGCCGCGAAAAACAAATCCAACTATATTTTCCCGCTTACTTTAACAAATTTCCTTCACTACCTATCCTATTTCTATTGGTCCCGTACGACGAATTGCTGAGGGTTGGGATATATGAGGTGCGCTACTTAAACTACCTTTGTCCTAAAAACTAAATTAACTTATATCAGCGGTCAACTATGACAGAATAATGGGCCTCGGGTTACCTTAGGTGGGCGACCAACTTAACTTTTGTCTTCCTTTTACGTTTTTGTTTAACCGAAAATCATTTAAACTGAACTGAAGGCTGTGCACCGATGCGTACATACCAAATTCCGATTGATCGGATGATTTT